CGCCCTCCCCGTGCCACTCATCGCTGCATTCGGTCACGCAGATCCCGCGGCCAGCGGCGTTCGGGCTCTTGGGGCTGGGGTGTGTTTGGAAATCCAGCAGAGCTGGCGGGAGGGAAGGGGCAGGGATGAGAAAGGGGCTTTTATTGCCTGGGTCGAAGGCGCTGGTGGGGAGGAGGTTCCTGCACTAACTAGAAACACATGGGACCCCATTTAAAACAACAACAGCAAAAATCTTTCTCACTTCAATAGCAAAGTCACCACGAGCAATTTGCAGCCACTGCCCGTTTTCCCATGATGTGAGGAGTTAGTGCTGCAGAGCGGGTGCAAGGGACACGGTTGTCACCTACATCCCAACCTCTTCCCTGGACTCCCTTGCCCAAGACGAGGGACATGAGGCCGTAAGACATTTGCACAGAGCATCCCATGGGGCTCAGTCTGGGACACTCACCAAAAAAAGGCAAAAAAAAAAGGCAAAAACAACAAATAAAAAAGGAATAACTAAATTATGCAGGTAAGAAACAAGAGTTAAACTCTTCAAGTCCTTTCTCAGCAGGAACAGGGAACTGCAGGCAGCCAGAGCAAGCGAGAAAAGGAGCTTTGGTCACATTCGTCTTACGAGAATTGCTGGTGAGTAACAATAACAACAACAATAATAATAATAAAAAAAGGACTTAAAAATACGCCTCATAAAAGCAACCAGTGAAGAGCAGAGTACAAAGCATCTCACGTGGACACTGAAGACGAGGCCTGGGCACCTCCGAAATGTCCGGGCTAGGGAGAGCCGAGTGCGGGGGAAGGAGACAGGGCAGAAAGGAGCCGCTGGCGAGTTCAGAAGTTGCTGAAAATCTCCCGTTTCTTGTTCCAGTCCATCTGCGGGGCCCTCTTCTTCACGCGCTTGGCGCGCACCTTCTCCTTGGCCTCGGCCGCCGTGGGGCTCAGCGACAGGCCGCTCTCCTCGAAGGGGTCCTTCTTGTCGCACTCTCCATCCTGCGCGGGAGGAGACGGGACGCGTGAGCGGGACCCGCGGCTTCCCGGGGGCAGCAAGAAGCTCCTGCCTAGGGACACGCATGCAACAAAACCCATCCCTGGGCTATAGCCACGCGGGACCACGTTGCCTGGGGAGGTTTTCGCTGCCGTCGCCCTGAGGAGGAGCCAGGGCCGCTCGCGCTGGAGCGGCCGCCCCGGAGCGGAGGGGCAGCAGCAGGACACGCAGCCGCCCGGTTAATCCCGTTGTTGCTTTGAGTGGGATTCCTGCCTAGGGACACGTATGCAACAAAACCCATCCCTGGGCTATAGCCACGCGGGACCACGTTGCCTGGGGAGGTTTTCGCTGCCGTCGCCCTGAGGAGGAGCCAGGGCCGCTCGCGCTGGAGCGGCCGCCCCGGAGCGGAGGGGCAGCAGCAGGACACGCAGCCGCCCGGTTAATCCCGTTGTTGCTTTGAGTGGGATTTTGCCCTCCTGGAGGACGCGTGGCTGCCACGACTGGGAGCAGAAAAGCAGAAATGTGGAAGCTGCTGCCAAAAGGAAACCAAACCGCTCTGCTTTTCTCCAGGAAAAAACCCACCCAAGTCTCTGGTGCTGGGCTGGACACGGGCCCAGCTCCTGGCTGGTGTTTGCAGTCTCCAAGCCCAAGAGGCTTTGGAGTTCTTGGGTTTTCAGAGGTGGCCCCATAGGACGCACTGGGTGTCAGACCTTCCCTTCCAGACGTGCCAGCGCAGGGGACACCGCAAGCAGTGACAGTGGTGAGACACTTCACACAACCTGGCCTGCACTGAGGCATTTTCCTATTTTTAGCAGAGCTTCATATTTAATATGAAATTTCTTCAGCACCTTAAAAACCCACTACTCATTATTTAAGGGAAAATAAACTGTTAAATTAATAATACAAAATACCATCACACTCATGCCTTGGGTTTCCTTTCGGTTGCTCTTGCAACTGGCACGGGGAGATGAGCCTGTTCTCCAGCCCAGAGCTCCTTGTTCTTACGCTGCAACGCTCAAGCCTGGCTTTGTGACACAAAGACCATCCTGGCCTGGACGCAGGGCCACCGAACCCGAGCAGCTCCTGCCAACGTCGATGTCCTCGCTGTGCTCCACGCCGCCCCGTTCCTAACGGTGCCCCAGACCGGGCTCTGCTTTCCACAACCTCCTGGCTGTCACCCCGCAGCCTCTCCCCGCGCAAATCTGCTGCGGGTCTAACGCTATTTCAAGGCTTCTTTTCCCCGGGTTGCTACTGGAACAAGAGTCACCTCCCAAGCAGGAGCTGCTGCTGCTGCCCTCCCTTGACGCCTCCCCGTGCTTCCCTTCGGGCAGCGCCGTCCCCGTCCCCGCGCGCACGCAGGGTCCAACGCGGTGAAGGAGGATGCAATCGGACCCCTGCAAAGCGCACGGCTGAACACGGGACACATCCGCTGCCGCAGGGCCACGCGCAGCCGCGAGCGCCTCCGTCCTCCCGCAAAACGCGAAGGATGCGGCGCGTGGGAGACCCACACGGGCCAAGTCCTTCCAGCGTCCCAGCTCCATCAGTCCCACCCCAGCCTCCCCATCCGCAAGCGGGAGAGCAGCAGCGGAGGCCGCAGGGTATTTAATTCCCATTTGAAGGTTGTTGAACGTTTCAGGCGGGGGCTGGAGGGAGCAGTTTATAGATGGGGCTTACAGATAATCGCTCCTTCCCCCAGTGTTTACACGGCTGCAAAAGCAACGTGTATTTCTGCAGCGCACTTCGGCCTGAAGGACCCCAAGTCCTTCATAAACTACCTAGAGGAATTGTTTATGCATCCCAGAAACACAACCGGCAGCTGCTGGAAGCTCATAGGTAACATTTTGGGGAAATTTACAGCTCCAGACATGAAAGTCAGTCCTGTAGAGTTGGATTATCTGATGGGCACAGCTGGATCTAAGTCTGCAGGCTCAAAATTGAAAATGTATTTAAAGGCATTTTTACAAATACCACAAAGATATGCACATGCATAAACATGGAAAAAACAGAGGGGGTATATTTGTTTTCTGGGTTTTTTTACCTCTGATTCTTTCCCAGGACTTTGAAGGTCACTGTGAGATGAAGACGTGGATCCTCCATTCAGCTATTGGGTAGTAAAACATGAACAGTTAGCACAAAACCAAAGGAAAGAAAAAAAAAAAACACTATGCAGAAAAAATGCTACAAGGAAATGCTCCCAAAAAATGCTCGCAAGGAAAATCAGAGCCAGCCCTGCCAGGTTGAAAATAACACCTAGTTTTTCCAGGGACAAGGCCAGCTGCACAAACTGCCCAGAAGGCAGCCCTGGGCATTGCAGCAAGGCATTGCAGCGACCTGATTTTGCACATGCAGCTGCATTGCTGGCTGCATCGCCGCTTTGCTGCGTGCGCAGCCGGGGCTGCCGCTGCCTCCCTGTGCTCCAACCCCAGCAGGGCCAGCCCTGCAGCTCTGCCAGGGCTCAGCAGCTACTTATGTTCCCTGTCACGGGGGAAAATAATTAAACGGGGCTGAGACCAGCCTTGCTTAACCCCTCAATTAAAGCTGCAGGAGGAAGCAATTAAAACGAGCCAGCAGCAGCTAAGCTGAGCTGAACGAGCCGCTGGGACGCTCCGCGGTGCCCGCTCCGCAGGCTGGCAGCTCCTCCCACCAGGCTCGCGTTTCTCATCCTGAGGGATGGGGTTCGGGAAACACTGGCACCGCCGGGGCTCCCTCGCTCCGGATCCACCCCGCGTTCCCCTAACCCGGCTGCCGCGCGGGCGCTCACCTGGCTCTGCGCAGATCCGTTCGTGATGGGCTGCGGCACCGCACCTGGAGAGCACGGAGAGAAAACCGGGATGAACGCGCGGGATGGGAGCGCCGGCCTCGCGGCGGGACGAGCTCCCCTCTCCCGCGCTCCGGAGCACCATTCCCGCCCGGGCAGCTCCCGCCCCTGCAAACGCCTCTCTGCCTCCTTGGGCCCTCCAGGAAACCAATGTTTTTCACTTGATTTCACTCTTTTCACCAGAAAAGAATTCCTTGCATGGACCACTTGGGGAACAAATAACTTTCTTCCATAAGCACTAACTACAGGGCACTTCTATATTTTCTTTTGAATATTAAGTAAATCTTCCTCAAAAGGGAAACAAGCTATTTAATCAGAAATCTTGCAAACCGCTCCAGCATTCTTTGCTGAAATCAGCAGCTTGCTGCTTTCACAACAGCGTGTGGGAACGCGCCGGCTCCTCATGGAGCTGCAGTGTTGTAACCCTTGGCTCCTGCTCCCTCCCAGGGATTTCACGAATAATTTTCCACATCACGACCGATGCAGGGCCGCTGAGCGGCCGGTCGTCAATACCGAACCACGGCTCAAGGCAGCCTGGGCCAGAGGAGACCCTGGTTGCAGCAGATGTGCTCATCACGTGGTGAGGCTAATAAGTTCTCTGTGGGGAATGAATACTTCTTGCAGGCAAGGACTTCATTTGTGCATCGCTGGCAATGAGCACAGACCCAGGGTCAGCTGGGACAGCGAGGGGACAGCGCTGTGCGTGCTCCTCCTTGCGCAACCCGCGATCCGTGGGGCAGGAGCAGCGCTCGGCGACTGCAGAAACTCCCGGGTCCTGATTTTACAGCCTAATTTTAAAGCTGTTGTCTGGATTCATCATCTAGGACAGTTCTGGGCTCTCTTAACAACTGCTTTGCAGGGCTGCATCAATGCGAGCGGTAGGGATTCCCACTGCAAATCAGGGGATCTTCAACAAAAACCCATAATTTTGAACGTGCGTTGGTGCAAAACGTTATGTTAGGAAGCTGGGACTCTTGTGCCCGGTCTGCGCGCAGCCATTGCCAGGAAGAGCCAAATCCTGGGGATCTCTGGAGGAGCAGGCCGGGCGGCAGAGGAGAGCGCAGAGCCCCAACACGTAACCGAACGTCCCCGCGTGTCAGCGGCCCCGGCTGCGCCTCCGGAGCCGGGAACAAGGGCTCCGTTATTGCCCGTGCCAGCAGACAGCTCCCGCACCAGCTCCTCCTCGGGCCCATCCGGAGCATCTGACACCACTTCTACCCCATGCGGTTCTCAGAACTGCCTGACCCATTTCTGGGGACAAATCTCTCCATTGAGCATCCGGCGAAGCCGAGCGATGGCCCGAGCCAGACTCGGGATCAGATAAGGAGCAGCTGTAGCGAGGAACAGAGCTGCCCATTGAGGGCCGCAGGGCAGCGCGCGGCGGGGCCGTGCGCGCGGCCCCCGCGGCCGCCGGCAGCACAACAGGTTGCCGAGTGGACGGGCCGCTTTCCCTGCCAGGTTTCAGCCGCAAGGAAAACATTCCCTGCCGCAGCTGCACGTGTGATCGCCGCGACGTGAAGCCTTTCCCTCCGCGTGCGCTCGGCGCTCGCTCCGGGCTGCCATGAGCTCCTGCACATCCTTTCTAAGGGTGCCAGATGCCACAGCGGGAAACGGAGCGGCCCCTGGGAAGCGCCCTGGGACCTGCTCCTCGCCCGAGCAGAGGGACGGTCCCAACGGAGCACCCGTCCCAGCGCTCGGGCCGGATCCCACCCCGCTTTCGGTCTCGCTCATTTTCCGGCGGCAAGTTCCACCGGTTAATCATTCACTGTGTAAAAATAACAGTTTGGGTTTTGGCTGGACCGGCAGCCATTCTCCCTGCTTATAAATAGCTGGGTGGTGCTCAGGAAACCACTCCGGGATGAGGCCGAAGGGAAGCAGGAGCCGCGGGCGCTCCCGAAATCCCACCCGGGGCCATGGGAAGGGCGCGCGGGGAGGCCCGGCCTCACCTTTGGCGTGCTCCTCCGTGGGGGTCACCCCCAGCTTCTTGAAGTACTCGTCCGTCTCGGGGTCCACCACGAGCAGCCGGGCCTCGTGCTCCCGGCACTTGATGTGCGACACCACCTCGGCGTGCCGCAGCCCTTCCACGTTGATCCCGTTCACCTGCAAAGCGCCGGACGTGAGCGCCCGGAACGGCTCTCCGGGAATCCTGCGGCTTCGTTTCCCTTGGGGTGACCCCCTTTTGCTCTCAGGCTTCCCCCCAGTCTCCCCTTCCCTCCAACATCCTCTGCGGGAGCATCGTGCCCCTCTCCCCGCACAACCCGCTGCCTTCGCCCCGGATCCTGAAGGTGCTTGTTGGAAAAATCACAACTTCGCTGTTGGGAAAATCACTACCTGCGGTCTCTACTATTACCTGCTCTACCCGGTTCCTATGGATACACTCCGTTTGCCCTCTTTAATGATTTAAAATCCCGCGTGCATCTTGGGTTTGTCCCCAAGCATCCCGGATGCGCAGGGTACCAGGACGCAGCGAGTGACAGGTTCCCTGTCCCACGGCCCCTGTCCAGCACAGGGGTCCACCGCCCGCACCGTCATTCCCGCTCCGCCAAGGAAAAACACCAATTCCCTCCCAGCTCCCTCCCAGCCCTCTCGCTCAGTGCTGCTGTCACAGTTCTTGATGCAGTGATTAATCTTTCCCTTGATCGCACGCTGTTGCCCCCGGCCAACAACCGCGGCATTATTCACTCCATTGTTCCCAACCCCGAAAGGGAACAATTGTCATTTCTAGGCATTGTTCCTGCTGGGGACTGAATACGCCCATTGAAAGGGCCTCGCTGCTGCCGCGGCGCTCGCCGCTTAGCGCGGGGCTCTGCTTTTGTGCCGCTCAAGGAAGCGATTCCAGAGCTCCCGGCCGGCCTCGCGCTGCGGAATTACGGCCCGGATGCTCCAACGTGGCCCTCGCAGGGGAGCCCAGGTAGTGCCGAGGGCACAGAGACCACCTACACAGCGGGGAATTAATTTACTTCTCCTAGAGACAGCTGTTCTGTTACCACAGCTTTCTGGAATGAATCAGAGACCCCAGAAATCCGTTCAATGGAGCAAGGCCTTAGCTCGATAACCGGACGGCGGTTTTTGTTTGTTTTTTCTTAAGCCATGGATCATTTCATGACCACACGTGCTTTAGACACATCTGCTTTTCCGCACGGCCCCGGCTGTGCAGGGATTCCCGGGATCAACACGTCTTGTCTCCCATCTCCCGCAGGCGGCCGCCCCGCTCGCACGCAGCCGGAGCGCGGAGCCGCCGGGGCCTGGACGGCATCGCTCCGGAGCCGGGCACGCCGGGACCAGCGATTCCTCCTCCCCGGACATGATGGGGCTCTTTGGGGTTCCGAGAAACTCCGGGAATGGGGACAGAGCAGCCCCAAATGCACCAAGCTGCGCAACGGAGCTGGGCCGCGCTCGTCGCCCGCGCGGGCGCCCCGGAGAGCATCAAATATTGATGGGAGCCCCGGCGCGGCCGGGTCGGGTTTCTCCGCTCTGCAACTCACCTCTTCCCCCTTTGTGTGCGCCAAGCGCTGCGCCGGGGGCCGATAAATAAATAACCAAAGGGACCGGCGTGCCGGAGCCACGGGCTCCCTGCCCCCA